TGACGAAAACCTTTATGACACTAACTGACTTAAGGCACATTGTAAGCTCATGCTTTGAACCGCATTGCATTTCATTGTGATGGAACAACCTTGGTACTTGTGACCATTCAGTTCTGAGATAATTCTGATAATAGAATCTGTCTCTGTCGCACTTCTGTCTCAATGGTCTCCTTAAAACTCTTTGAAATTCATGGCTTCTCTTTGAATTGAGGGACCTTTTATTGAAAGGTATGTCCTGAGAATTTGAAAGGAAACGTGATGTAGCTAATATCAGTTTTCATTATAAGCAAAGATATGTAAATATAGATATTCTTCAAAATTTGACTTTCTTAAGTCAGTTGAGTTTTGCAGTTCCCTGTTTTCATGATTTTCTTTTAATTGACAGTTGGTGGTGATTATGCATTAAGAAATCTTGTGAGGGGCTTGCGAAAAGTGGGGAAGAAGACTTCCAACACTTGTAAACATGGATGCTAATGAAGCAGGTTTAAAGATTATTTTAAAATCCAGTGAGAAAGGGAATAAATTGAGGATACACACAATGTGCTGGTGGTGAGAAATGGTGGGAAACCAACTCTGAATATAAACTGTTTACATTCAGAGTATCTTTAAGCAAAGGTGCACCATCTGAAGTCAAGATGCGTAAATGTCCCTGCTGGCTGTGTGTGTTTAAAAGATGTTGAGTGTGTGTCATAGGCCAGTGGCGGCGTGAGGCCTTTTGTCAGCAGGGGGACTGAGGGACACAAAGACTGAGGCTGGATGGTCAGGATGCCGCTCTCCAGAGATACACCAGTTCAGAGGTCGCCACAGGCTCTTTTGGGTGGAGGGTGTTCGTGTGTGTGTGTTGAGTCTGTGTGCCTACTTATGCACAAACGCCCGTGTGTGAGCATGTGTGCGTGTCTGCGAACGCCGGGTGGGGTTACACACGGCACAAAATGGATCCCAGTGGACAGGCATTTTCAGGACAGGTCCCTGTGGACGGACAGAGAAAAGAGGAGAAGAGGGATGATGATGAGGGGTTGGTGTTGGTTGGCCGATGGGGTCCAGCAGGGATGGAGCAGCCTGCTAATGAAGAGCCATCTGAGGCCTCCATTCACCTTGAACGTGGGCCACTGCAGCTGCCCTGACCTTGGCTTTGATCCACAAAGATGCTTGACCCCACCATTCCCCCAGAGCAACCCCTCTGCCATCTGGATGGTACGCATGCATATGTATACATACGTGCACACACCCACAGATACATATGCATGTACATGTATGTTGACCCACATACACGTGCGTCTTCACAGCTGTTTTAGACTGATGACTGGCTTTTATTTAGCCACATTCACCATCTATTGTTTGGCCTGTAAGCGGCACTTTGTGCATAATTGTTTTGTGCATAATTGACCTGTATGTTTGTGTGTGTGTGTGTGTGGGATACACACCTACACTCACATATCATATGCCGCCCATAAGTCACCAGTGTTTGTCACCACAAGTGATAAGAGAAAGAGAGCAGGGCACAGGCTGGATACAGACTGTTATCCACTAAAACACATTATCCTAAATGTGTAAATGTTGTAGTTAATAGATTGGATTTGTGCTTTTCTTTTTATAGCTTCTACTCACTCACTCACCCACCCTCATCAACACAACCTACATGTCTCCGGTTGTTGTTTTACATTAACTTAGACCTGGGAGATTTTTTTTTTTTTTTTTTGTCGTTACTATACCAATTGATGCCACCATTACATTGGTCTCCTTCTCTTCTCTCTAATAGGAATTCAGCCACTTGGAACGTAGGGGTTCCTTGGAAATTCCCAGAGTGGTGCAACACACTCCTCCCAAACACTGGCTTGTCTTGCTTGTCCGCCCAGTTCAGCTGTAAATGGCAGTTATGTCACGGGTGACTTGAGTTGCAGTCCATCTGTGGAAATGTAGACCTGTCTGCATTTTCCTTTTTATATTTCATCCCCAGCTTTATGGGAATTTTTTATAGCACAAAATATGGTGGAGAATTATTGCAATACAGTAATAGAGTTCATGAGGAAGGCTTTCATAACACATATCATTTTTATGAAGTGTAAGTCGTATTTTGTGATTCACCTTTCCAGAGAAAGTTGTCACAAACATGAAGCTCTCACTCATCAGCAGTAGCTGCTGCCTATTTTTTTCCCCAAAAGTAGGTCAGTGTCAGTGGGTTTGGTGTCCATGACATGGACATAGTCTTGGCGTCACTGTTCTGGACGTATCCCTTGATTAAGTTACTGCATGGAGGCAGCAGCATCTGTGCATATGCAGGGGAACAAGCTGTGCCCATGGCTTAGCAATTAGAGACAAACAGAAAGATGAGGGAGGGAGAGAGGGAGAGGAGACAAGATTACTCCTCACTGTGCATCAGGTCTGATTTCTGTGCAGCAATTTTTTTTACCCACAGATAGCATCGTACATTTACTTAAATGAGGTGATTATGGCTCTCGCTTTCACTCATCTCCGAAATGCCTTTTATTAGTCTCCCTCCTTTACCGCCTCTCGTTCTCCCCCACTGCCTGTCATATATGTTCCCTCATCTCTAGATAATTCTACACTCTCTCCCTTTATTTTATCCTTTTGAAGTTTTTTTTCTCACCCACTGTAATCCATTCGGCTAACTTGGATAGAGGGCAGCGGAAGGAAGTAGTGGAGGAGAGGCGTGTGTCAGAGTCAGAGAGAGCGTCTGCTCCAGCTGGAGTCAATATTTGCTTTAGGAATCTCAATAACAGGCCTCCAGTCATCTGCATCTCTGATAATGGACAGCCATATGGCTCTGTTGACCCACGCTGTGCTGTGGTTCTCTTTCTCTCCCTCCATCCTTCCTTGTCTTTCATTTATCGGCTTCCCTCTAAGTTCTCTCATTTCTTTTCATTAAGTCTCTCCTTCTTCTATATTTTGTCTTCCACTTATCACGTACCTGGGCACATTTTGTTCTTTTTACAAACATCCTTTCTCTCTGTCTGTCATCCATGAAACCCTGGATATGACCCACCACACAGAGCTGTGACCTAAGTTACCATGGCAGCAAAGCCTGGGATGCCCACTCTTTGTCCAACACTGTTTCCAGCAAGTGACAGAAAACGGTGATGTTGCATGTCTGGCTATGACTGGAAGACAGATCTCGAGCGCACAGGGAAGTGCTTTTATGTGTTTAAAGTCATGCTGCTCTGCATGTCTTGAATGGGGATGTTGGCCCTGTAAAGAATGGTCAATTAAGTACAGTGTATTAGTTGACAGGTCTTTTGGTCTGTTTAATTCCTACATTTTTTTTCTTGTCTTTCCATTCCTCCTTTCCTCTTTGAGGTGAGAAATATGAGCTTTTATTTTAATGGATTTTCTTGGTGTTCTGTGCTGACAAGGGTTCAAGTGTTTATATAAGACTCTCAGAAAAAACATTGCTGAGTAGCATCTGTAACTTCTTTCATAGAACAAAAGTATTTCTATTTGAGGAACATGTTTCTCTAATGTTTGCCACCCACATTAAAATAATGCTGTTCTTGTCTTTGTTGTTAAATAGACAATATTAGACATTATTGTAATTATTTGTTTCATAGGGCGTGTGGACCTGAACATCACTACCATTTACATGGTTATCAAAACCCATCCTACTGCCTGTTTTCTCTTTTAGCCTCTCCTTTGTCTTATTCTACCCTCTGTCCATCTCTGTCTGTCCCTGTGGGCACCTTGGCCATCGTACCCTCTGGTGTGCCCCGGCTCAGGTGCCCGTCACCCCCACTTTGCCACGGTTCCCCTCAAAGCCATTGGTCATGGCTGCCTTGGCCCCTGCTGTGGCGGCATGTGCCCACATCAGGCCCACTTCCCAGTCACTGTCTCGTCCTATCTGTCTAACCCAGACCAGAGCCTCTCAGCCCAGTCCAGCCTATCTCAGCTCAGCCTGGTTCAGCCTTGGCGTCAGCAACAGCCTATGCCACTCCACCCTGGCAATCATAATGAGATGAGGGAGAGGCGCCGGTGGGGGGGGGGGTGCTCAGTTGCTAGAGCTGTGTGTGTATGAGAGTGAGAGTGCGTGTGTTTGTCGAGCAATTTGTAAGGTGTCGTCAATCAAGGAAACATGTCCACAACAGACAGCCGTGAGAATAATCAGACTCATTGTCAAACATGCGCACACACTCAGAGTGCTTACTACCATTATGCCATCAGATAGACCTTTTTGCTCCAATAGTTCTCTGCACCATATTTTATCCAGCACTTGCCTCCATTCCACAACAGACTTAGCACGATATATCTATGATAATGATATGATAATGGCCATCAGAATGTTTTCCACCCTCACCCGGCAGCCATTTTGCAGGCTTATTTATTTATTTTTCTTATTTATTTATATATCTGAGCTTTCCCATTTCAAATCCGGCCATCCATCCTGCATGCTGGCTGCCCAGGCTCCAGTCACTGCTTGTCACTCTGAATTTCAAATGGCTCCAATTTTCCCCCTGATGGCACGGAGAAGTGGCAGGCAGCACATCGGGGAGGGTGGTCCTAGACATGCTGCCTGCAGCAGGGGTTCTATTAGAGAGAAGAGAGGGATGAGAGAGGGGGAGTGGAGAGGTTCGGAGCATCACGCCAGTAGTGATGTATTCTTTCTTTCTTTTTTATGATTATTTTGGAGACTGCTTTCTCATTTTGGGGCTGTGTGGCATGGCTGATTATTCCATCTCTGCTTCTGGCTGGGCTGGTGATGGTGAAGCCACCCTGCCCAGTAAAGCTGCCTCTCGCTCTCCCAGCCCGCTTTCACACTACAGTGTATATCTGCAGTGCACCACTGAAAAAATTCAATTTGTAACCAATGCTATGATTTGTTCCCAACTGATGAACTGTGCAATACACAAATGGAAGTTTTAACAGTACTCAGAAATGTGATTATTTTATGAGAACTGTGTTTAATGTGCATGTAAACTTGACTTTGTTGCCGTGTTTTGTCTCTTCTCCAACATGCCATAATGTTGTGTCCCTTAACAAGAGCTAACCAGCTATGAGGAGCGGGCGCTCTACTTGGAGGCCATTGTTCAGAACCATAGAGAGGTCATGACCTTTGAAGACTTTGCCTCGCAGGTCTTCTCCCCCTCTCCTGGCTACCCAATGAGTGGGACAGGTGAGAAATGAGCCAAGCTGCACATCTGTTCTCCTTTAAGTTCTTTCCACTCCATCTCTTTCTGTCTCTCCGTCTCACCACTGCTTCATCGCGTCTCCACTGTTTCCCCTCATGCCTTCTTTCCCCCTTCTTCGTCATCTCTTTTCTTGCCTCTTTTTCCATATTAGTCTCTCCTCCTCCTCCTCCTCCTCCTCCACAGCACACCTGTTTGCCCCCTTCACCTCCTCCTCCACCCTGCTCATTCTCTCCACTCTTCTTCCACGCCTACGCTCACTGATGAATATCAAACGACGGGCCCGGGCTCTTCACGCTATCCGACTGACTTCAAACACTCCGCTTTCTCCACTTCCTCAAGCCCCTCTCACGCTACTTTGTTCATCTCTTCTCGTTTCCAACTGCATCTTTCTGTGCAGTTACTTTCCTGTGAATATAAGCCGCCTTGTTAAACGGCGGCTGCAGAGTGCGTGTGCGTGTGCGTGTGCGTGTGTGTGTGCGTGTGTGTGTGCGTGTGTGTGTGTGTGTGTGTGTGTGTATGCGTGTGCATGCGACTTCATGAGCTCATTCACCAACACTTAAGAGATCTGCCCGGCAAACAGCAGCTCGCGGATGTCAGCACAGCACTCTTATCAGTCCGTGATGAATAGAATGGAAAACGTGTCTTATCTTGTTCTTCCTACTTGTACCAGCTCTGATCGATCTGCAACAGCACTGAAATCAATACAGAATTGCACTTTTCCACTCTATTGGATCCCGACACACGTTCTGTTTTGACACAGAAAGCACTCCACAATACGACACCATAATCTCTTGTCATTTTCAAATCTGTCAGTGCTTATATGTTTTGTAGACATTTTAAAGTTTAGTCATATTTTTATCATGTACTGTGAATGTCCTAGACTGTGTGATTGTGTGTGTGTGTGCGTAGGACTTCAGATTGTCAGACAGCAGGTGCGATATTCAGGCAGGCAAGAGGTGGTCAGCCACGTTACCATACTGTTTGTCCATGTCTCCTGCAGAGGTGTAAAATCCGCCCAGACTGACCTCTAGTCACCTCCTCTCATCCTCAGCACTAAACCAGCTTAAAGAGAAGGACTGAGGGGGAAACATAGATACTGATACAGAAGAATAAAAAGAAAGAACATGTTGTAATCGCCCAAAGCTTGGTCCATCATGTCAGCTGGTGCTGGCGTTGTGGACTATTTCAATCATGGCTTCCTTTGTGGCTGGACAGGAAGAGGTTAGAGAGGTTAGCCAGGCTTGAAAATAATGTTTCACAGCATGGGACATAACGCTGCGGCTAATGTGAGAGGCCGTAACATAATGAAGTCTGTGAGGCTGTTGTGTCACCCTCACTGCTGCGGAAACTCGTTCTGAATGGTAATTTGTATTTCTCCGGGAATCTGCGCATGAAAATAGATTAATAGATTAACGTGAGGGTGTGTGTGTGTGTGTGTGTGTGTGTGTGTGTGTGTGTGTGTGTGTGTGTGTGTGTGTGTGTGTGTGTGTGTGTGTGTGTGTGTGTGTGTGTGTGTGTGTGTGTCTGTGTGTCTGTGTGTGTGTCTGTGTGTCTGTGTGTGTGTCTGTGTGTGTGTCCATTCATATTTTATTCAGGAAGCACTTGCTTCCTAGGATACTGTAATGCATTTTTTTTGTAGGTTATCCATTATAAGAGTGTTGTTGAGTCATTTCTCAAATCACCTTTGCTCAGCCATTTTCTATAGAAGGGGGTTAAAGTTTCAAATATTTTCAAACCTAGTTAAAGGAAACCAGCACTGGCTGTAAAGAGATCTACTCCTAATGCAGCTTCAAAGTGAGGGGGGACGAAATCCACAACTTTTGATCTGTGTCAAAATGCATTCTAACGTTCAGCCAAAGCCAATACACACCTTTTTTAGTACAAAATTCTCTCTGTGGCCGGTATGGACAGAGGGTTCAATTACAGCAACATATAATGCTCTTAGGGAATGTGAGAATTGTTTTAAGACAGACTTCTGGGCCAATCAGAACTGGGTTTTAATTCAAGTGGAGTTATTTCTCAAGGTACCAGATTTATAAGGCTGAACTTTGGCAGAGAAGGTATAAAATGACGCATAAGACATCAACAAAATTTCTCTTGTATGGAACAGCCAGCATGCAGCATCTTGTGTTGTGAATATTTCACTGTTAATGTGTGAACATCCTATTGCCTCTATGAGGTGCTTGGACAAACATTCAAAATATACTGTGAGTGTGAGACTGTGATATAGTGTGTAATTTTTTTTTTTTAATTCAAATAAATTGAATTAGAAATTCATCAGGAAAAATCAAGAATTTCGAATTTAAAAACTAAAGTCGTTCATAAGAAAACACAGGCGTTCCAGGTGCGACTACTATTTTATTATCCGTAAATCTGACATGTTTTCCTTTATTAATCCTGGAGTGTATAAAATGTCAAACTGTCAATCAGCTAATTGACAAATTGACTAAATGTTTTATCTATAGCAGCTTCTCTCAGTTTCTACAGTTGTTTGCATGTTTTTTCATGTGTTCTTATACATTTTTAAATTGTAGCCAACACATTTTTGTTTTTTTCAAAACCATAGACATGACATGTTTAATGCTTGAGGCTACATTTATAATGCATCTGAATAAATCCTTATCGCTGTAGTCTGTCATACCTGATCCTCTGTGTCCCATCAAGCATATAGCTTCAATGTGGCAGTGATGGCTGGCTGACACTGCTCCTCATTCTCACTCTTCTCAAATGTGCTGCTGCCCACCCATGCCTTTTCTTTTTTCCGTGTGTGTGTGTGTGTGTGTGTGTGTGTGTGTGTGTGTGTGTGTGTGTGTGTGTGTGTGTGTGTGTGTGTGTGTGTGTGTGTGTGTGTGTGTGTGGTTATGGTTATACGCGAGTTCACCCATCCATCTGTCTTGTCTGTCCATCCTGCTCTGGCTTCCATTGCTGCCACTAACATGTCATCCATGCTCCATGACAGCGTGCAGGCGTTGGCCGGGGATGGTTTGGGACATGGAGTACCCCTGGGCCAAACTGGACTGTAAGACTCTGCCTGCTTCCTCCACACTAGGCATGACGCCCAGCCACAGCCCATCAACATCCATTGATTCATTCATTTAGGTCACTGCGAACCCCACCATCGCCAAATAACTGGCGGTTGCATTAGATTTAGCTCTTTTGTAAAAGCAAAGCAGGTCTTGAAAACAAATACAGGTCCTGCATGCTAATTGCTGAGTGCTCTTGCACTGTTTCTTCAGTGTTTGCCATAAGACATTTAACCTCTGCCCTTCCCTGTCAGTCAACCATTACCTTTTTGGCTCGTCAATATCCTCCAAAACCTCATCCACAATGATCCTGAATGCAACCTCACTCTCACCCTGCAACCTCAGTCAAGCACCACAGCTTCCTGCATGAGCTAGTCACATGGACCCCAAGACTCCATCCTCAGTGTTCTGCCCCTCACTGTGTTATACCTTGCACTGCTTTGCTCGGTTTTTACAGTTTTTGTCTGTGTTCATTCTCTTTAACTTTTTCCAAATGAATAACTGCACATGAGAAAGCCACCGCTTCTGTGTATTAGATAAAACAACTTAAAAGCTCTCATGACCCCAGCATCTTTTACTGTCACCCTAACCCTCTCTACTTGTAACATTGCTGCTAAATGTCTCTCAGCCTGTTGTTGCCATGTGAACTGCCCACCATTTGTGCGATTTCATTTGAATTGAAATCTGTGAATTGGACAGATTCATCAGGTACCACCAGATGTTGTGGCCTTCGAGGTATCTTCAGAAAACACTTGTTGATTAACTCATCACCCAAATCAGTTAACCTTGTTCGACTTTTAAACCTTCCATTGAAAACTAACCACGACACCACACAGGCTGCCTCCACCCCCGACTTTTCAGCGGTGTTGTGTTGTGTTTTACTGCAATGTGGTATGGTGTGTGTGTCGGTGTGTCCACTGCTCTCTCACATGATGCTCTACTCTGTTTTTCCCTTTTAGATTAAAAATATCTTAAAGGTCCAAATACTGTTTATGGTGAAGGTAAGCCCCGAGTCAGACCGGAAGCTTGTTTCCGTCCAGCGGCCTACCTACCCTTCGCTCGTTCACTCATCCTGGCTGTTTTCCCCCCACCCTTCTTTTTTCCATTCAGCACTAACCAAGCTTTATTTACTGAGTGCTCTGACAAAGAGAAGGGAACAGAGAAACCAGGCTGTTTATTTGGGGGGTGTCCTACTGTTTAGGCCAGGCTGGTAATTGAGAGAGATGCACAGTGGGGACAATTAGCACCTGACTAAGTAGCAGCATGAACAATACGGCTACACTTCTGGCCCTCGCTTTTGCATGTGGCGCGCCTTTATCTCTTCTCCCAGCGAACACTTTTCTCTTTTCTTCCCCCCCCCCCCTCAATCCCTCCACCCCCCTCATTTCCTCCTGTTGGAGTGTGCCTGTTTGCCTGGGGCAGACTCTGAGACTAACACCTGCCGCACTGGAAGACGTCTTTGTCATCCAAAGCCTTGTTTGAACTGCTGCAGAGGGGACCAATGGGATTGCAGGGCCATCTAAACTCTCATGTTTCTCTCTCTCTCTCTCTCTCTCTCTCTCTCTCTCTCTCTCTCTCTCTCTCTCTCTCTCTCTCCCTTCTTCTCTCCATCTGAAATTAACCTCACTGTAAGGCAGTTTGGGCTGAGCAAGGAGCGGAAATGCTGGGTTATAATGACGATAATGATGACACATTAGCCTCCTCTGGATCTGGGTTATTTTTTCACTCTATAACTTACTATGAAAATTAATTCTTACATAAGGCCATACAAAGAAGAACATCATTTAGAAACTGATGCAACCACAGTCATTAAGTGCCACAGTGGGAGTGATGACTGTTTAGTGCAGCATGTTTTAATGGCTGCTAAACGAAAAGGGAAGTCTGTTGAGTGGGTGGTGAACTATACCACAATATTGTCTGTGTATATTAGCTTTAATAGGTGGATGGCTTCCTCCTGTCTATCCTGTGTCTTTACAGCAGACGCAGTTGGAGTTTAGTTTATAAGACAAAGTGTACTGTAGGAATGAGTAGAAGAATACGGGAATGCAGGATTTGTTCTGCCCATAAGGCCAGCCCACATTTTTAGCCAAGCCCGTCCCTTTTTTTTTTTTTTATATTCATATGCAGATTTGAGAATGCATGTTCAGACCCCCCTCCTCTCTCTATAGCCCTTCACAAAACACACACCCAATGTTTCATCCGTAGCCCAACCCTCCTCTCCCAGTGAGCCGCGGCCCCGGATGCTGCCGGTGTCCACTGTGCTGCTGAGTGTCTGTTACTCCAGCCATCTGCCATTCCTTTTAGCCGCTGCAACTTGAGATGCCTCAGAAAAATGGCAGGAAATAAAAGGATAGGAAAGAAAATAGGCAACCAGATGCCATCTCGACAAAGCAGAAAAGTTGTTTAAACTCGAGGCATGGGGCAGACGCGGGTGGGGGGATGGGGGGGGGGGGGGGGGGGTTGGGTTTGGTCAGGGGCACACTGAGAAAGTCAGGGCGGCGTTATTGTCCTCACCAGCATTTCATGCCCACCTCCCAGCTTATTGCTTTTCGCCATCCCGTAATCATGGATGGGAAGTTTTTTTGAAAAAGGACAATGTTTGACAGTGGGAAGGCTCTACGTGTTCACAACAAGAGCATAATGTGTAATTTTATTTTCATTCAAAGCATTCTGTTGTCACACTGCGAACTGAATACTTTTTTTTTTTTCTTTACCCATAGCTACAAAGGTTACCCATCATTTTTTATATCATAAGCATCTGGAAACACTGTATTGGGAAGAAAGGCAGCTTTTCTTTTAACAAGCATGTGAAAAAGGCATGTGATTTCTGAAATATTTTATTTGCTTTCTCACATCTTCATTCTGATGACTTTAAGGGTGGAACAAACTCAAATCGTAACCCTTGTCTTTTTTTTACAGTTTTCTCTGAAAATTTGTGAATGTTGGTGAAAATCCTGGATAATCTTGATTTTGGGAGCAGCCACATGCATGACAAAGCATGCTGGGATATACAACAATCACGCAAAGCCCAATGAACCCCTGCCATGTCTAACCAGCTCTGTCTCTCTGTTGCTGTCTTTTTTTTTTTTTTCTTTTTTTTTTTGTTTCTGTCTACAAACTCTCCCTCCATCTCTCTCCCAGGTTCCTTCACCGGCAGCACGAGCACCGAAGCCAGCGCCCAAGCAGGAACAACGGACTCTGTCGACCAGGTCTCTCCCACTATGCCCCGTGCCACAAAGAACAGAGTTTCAGGAAAACTCCGCCGATCAGCCAGCGCTATAAGCAAATCCTCCAACTGAGCTCTTCAACTCGCCCCCCCACCCCCCATCCCCCACCCCCTGGATTGCAGCTTTAATATCTTTACTCGAAGAACCTCACACACCCAGCCGTGACTGCAAGAGTTCTATTTTTCTTTTTCTTTTTCTTTTTTTTTTCTTTTTTTTTTTGCGTGAATTCTTTTTCTTTTTTTATTTTGTGTCATATAAAGATGTAACTGGAGCATATTGCATTTTTTTTAATTTAAGTGGCAATCATTGATTTCACTGATACATTTCCGTTTGTTGTGGTGTTTTACTGCGTTAATCGAGATGCACATGAGACTAAGCTATTTATGTTCATCCTGGTGGTTTCAGCTTAAGAATCAGCAACATAGGAAGATTTGATTTTACTGAGAAGTCTTAAAGCAACATGTGACAGAAAAAAATGTCATTTTTATTCTCATTGTTAGTGCAGTCTTAATGCACTATAGAAACAAAGTTCTTAATAAAGGAAGGGAATGGGAGACTGCTTTACCCTGTTTCTGTATCTCATCTATCTCAGAACTTCATGTAACAAAGCACTGAATGACACAGCTGTAAATGGCATCATGCTAAAACTGCACAAGACATTGGTATCCATTTATAAATGTGTCTGCCTTTTTACCTCTTTTTGCACCTGCCACAACCTTTCTGTGTCAAAGACGCCACTTCAGCTAGTGACGGGCTGATGTTTTTGTCCTGCTCTGTAGCATCAGTTGGGATCATGTTCGGGGACCATCCTCCAACGGTTGAAAAGGAGAAGAGACTGATGCATGGGGAACACCCCCCCAGAATGATTTGTACTACACAAACTTCCTGGGCACGGAGTCCCTGTAGTGCGTGTAGTCAGAGGCTTTTTAATTGTTTTGAACCCAGAGTGGACAATCAGTGACGTCTTTCTAACTGGAGCTGAATTTAAATTTGTTTTTGATTTTTTTTATCACTCTAATTCTCCTTTTTAAATGAATTCTGATGGATTGTGTCATGATTTGATTTATGCAACTCCACTGGAATGAGAAAAGACTGCGTTTGTAATTGTTTTCTGACGTTGTTAACATAGGCTCATGTCCGGTAATTGAATAAGTTCCTCCTGTCTCTTTCCTCTGCTATCAGTTTCCCTGTCCTGTGAGGCTAAGACATCGACATTCCAACGTTCCCAAACAACGTTTTTGCACTCACTGTCATTGATTAACTAGAATGTCTCTCCTTGTCCATGGATGTATATTGCTTTAAAATTTATTTGCTGATGTTTGTTTGCTAGATGTATATAGAGAGAGGACTATTTGATGAATTATTTTGCTGTCGTGTTGTTTTATGTATTCATCTGCTGTTTAGAGGAAAAATACCACCAGAGCCTCAGGTGAATCTTAACTCCATGCACTGGTGTGTGTGTGTGTGTGTGTGCGCGTGTGTGCGTGTGTGCGTGCGCGTGTGCGTGTGTGTGTGTGTGTGTGTGTGTGTGTGTGTGTGTGTGTGTGTGTGTTTCTGCTGAGGGAGCTTCTCACAGTGCCTGTGTAATGTCTGTCCTCTAAGATGCTGTCCCACACCACCTCCGCTGCCAATAATCAGATTTCAGTTTCTCCTCTTCATCATTTGAGACAACCCATGGCCGCCCTGCACCACATCTCCTTGTTAGCCGTCTAAAAACAGTGTTTTCCTCCCCTGCGTCTCTAAAGGTCAGTGTCTTGTGCTTCCCACAACAAGAAAAACAACAACAACTGATGGATTTGGAGTCGCGGGGCCTCTCTGTTTATAGTCTTTATTTTAGGTGGCACGCTGCTCCGTCTTTTATCCGTGAATGAAATCAAGTGGCACCAACCCCTCCTCTTTCCCATGATCCTCTCCTCATGTCACCTCCTAGGGCCATAGGACGGGGTGTGGGGCTGGGTTTAGGTGGCATGCCAGAGCTGAACTCTTAACAGCCCTCCTAGCAACGATAGCCAGGCCTCCAACCTGCCCTGCTTGTGGTAGCCAGGTGTTCACCACACACACACACATTATACACTCACACCCTCTGAGGGCTCCACCCAAGCTGCAACACTATCCCCATCTGTTGCACTACTATGCCTTACTTTCCTCACGCTCACCTGTCATCTTTCTTCCATCTCTCACATCTCGCCTCCCTTTGTTTGTTTAAGTCTCTGACCAGAAAACAGAGAATCCAAACAGCAGGAGTGTGGAGGTGGTGTGAGTTAAATCCATTTTTGTGCTTTTGTTGTTTTGTTTTGTTTTGTTTTTTTGAAGAATGTATAGATATATAGGCCTGGATCACACCTCTGGTTTTTATTTTCCCCAAAGCCACTTGAAGGAACCACCCAGGATGCTGATCTAAAGATTGTAGGTTATAGATGATGTCTGTTGAAGGGGTCTGTGCCCCCCTTTTGGTGGCTTAGTCACTGGAGATGTTAGTTTGGACCAAGATAAGGATTGTGTGTCTTATATACGTGAAGAAAACGAGCTAGTGTTAGTCCTAGTATGTTGTTTCTTTTCTTCTCGTTTTAGAAATCCTTGTACATTGTGTCAAATTTGAGGGCTTCAGCGTCCTCTGAATATAAATATATTAATGCCTGTAATATAATCTTTGTATAAGAGAAAGAGGAAAAAAAGCTTGAAGATTTCATCATTACTTGTCAACATATCAAACTGTTTTTAACGACCTGCTATCTTTATTAGAAATGTGAAAATTGAAACATTTCATTAAATCAATTTGAAATTCTACTGATCTTTTGTTGCTTTTTTTCTCTCTCTCCACAACAACACATTAATTCTGCAGACACAGATTTTGAGGGGTGGTGGGTGTGGGTTTTATCTGTGTGTGTCTGTGCTGTTACCATGGGCTTCCTGACCGTGGCCTGGCCGTGTTAGAACCACCAGCAGCAGCAGCAGCAGCAGCAGGGGTAACCTGACCCTCCTCCCATCTGTCTCCCCTGCTGCTCAGCCCTGCTTAGGGCAGGCCAGCATAATGGAACCTCACCAGGAGGTACAGGTGCAATGGTTGCAGCACCTACGGGTGCCCTGCCTCGCCTGAGCCACATAAAGATGGAAGAAAAGCACTTGACTGTAATTGGAGCCCTAAAACTGTGTGTGTGAAAAAGGGTGAGAAAGAAGCCTAATGTTACCTCATTTTCATCCAGCTCTGGGCTCTTTGCCTCAATCACTGGCTCTGAGGTAGTTTACAGCAGAACAGGCAGGAGCTGGCTGTCCCAGTGATTATTACCAGATTATATTATTTAATGTGTCACACTGATGGTTGTGGTCTATTTTCACACTTCAAAAACTCTGTCTTGATGTATTGTCACTGATGCCTTAAGGGGGAGTGACACTCATTAATTTAAAAAAGGTTTATGTTTTTTTGGGCCTTGGACAGGTGCAGAGTGTCAGTGAGAAGTGAGAGGGAGCCACACTCTGCAGTGGCAAGAAAAGAGACTCAGGAGTTAAGGTCAGTGTAAAGGTGATTTCTTTTTTTATATTTACTTATTCCAGATTACTCAAGACTTGAAGTGAAGTTTACAGTGATCATGCTCTACATGTTAAATCCATGTGGACAGTTGGAAGCTGCCAACTACTACTAAATAACTAACTAACCAACTCAATGCTTTTCAGGTTCTGGAGGTCAGATATGAAGCCAGCTGAGCCCTGATATGTCTTAAATCAGCAGAAGCTTAACAAAAATCGAGCTGCATGAGTCCTCCAAAGCAGACAGATGTTTTACTGCTCCAGAGGTGAGCTCTGATCCACCACCTCTTTGTCCTCCTGTCATGTCCTGACATGGTATTAAGGAGGGAATTTATGATTAGGCCCTAAGTGCTTCTCTGTGGCAGGGAAACGGCGTCTATTGAGCCACTGCAGCGATGATTTACTGCGAACAAGTCTGATAAATGGGGAATCGAAGGCAAAAGGTTTGGCCGAGGGGGCTTCTGAGGTTTCTTTTTCCTGTTAGGGACGACTAAATAGATGCGCAGCAGTTGTGGACTGTGACCCGGTGAGAGGGAGAAATGACACGTTACAGCCTGTTGACTTTGTTAAAACTTGTTTCGTGTGAAATTAAACTGTTTCTTATCTTGGGCAGTAACCTCAGCTATAAAACACCTGATCAACAACTGAATCAAAACTGCAATTGATTTTTGAAACTCAGAAAGTTTCGGTGGGATATTATATTTATATAGCACTTTTCTAAATAGGACCCTACAAAACTTTAAGATAATAATAAGTGTAAAATGAGGGTATATATGAGGGTCATTTTGATCGTTTTTGAGGGTATGATTTACACGCACGCAGGAAAATAGTTTCAAATTGTGTCCTGAAAACAACACTACAAAATAAGAGACCTTTATGAAATATTTTGAAGTAATCCATATATTTCTAAGTAAATAATCCCTAGACTTATTCTTTATGTCAGTTTGAGATGATAATGTGTAGCTTATAAGTAGTTTTTGAAATAATTTACTATCAGTCAAAGAGTTCCCCACACAGAGAAAATTACAGAAACACGAGGGACAATCAAAACTAGGATCAGTTAGAATTGTTTGTTAGATAGAGTTAAAGTCACTAAACTAATTCATCTCAATGATACAAAACTGCCCCCAGAAATATGGTGTTCTTTCGTTAAGAAATAAAGTCCATTAATGTCATGTGCTGCTTCTCACTCCATCTGAAAAAGTTACCATGAAACCACATATGTCCTTTTGAAAATATTTTTATTTCGATAGACAACAACGATATACACATACAATCAAAGCGCTATAAAAGCCAACATTTAAGAAAAATAACTTGTCCTTAAAAAAGATTGCATCTAAGGTAAGAGCTTTACGTTTTTTTTTTTATTTTCTTTTTACAAGAGCTGTGGAGATTGAAGATTAAAACCCGACCCACGACAGTTATCACAACTCATAAACCTGACAAAAGAAACAAAAAAAAACATTTTGGCTATACGACATGTAAACTTCCAGAACGATTCACAGGAAAAAATCACAACAAACACAACAATAAGTTACATAAAATAATTAGAATAAATAAATAAATAAACATATGATGAAAAATATTGCAACAATCTTCAATAATAATTATAAAATATGTGCCAGCATTCAAAATTAAAACAATCTATGTTGACTTTTTTAAGGCAGTTATACAGCGGGATTTGGATGTGTATGTAGGCTATTTCGGACTAGGCTTTGTATACTAAAGGCATTTGTGGTTCTACTAAACAGGGAATGCTTCAGTCACTCTGTTTTTTCCACCAGGACAAAGTTGATAAGTTCAGTCATTCACAAACTAGCGTAAAGCTACAGTGATGGAGCAATCACGGTCGGTGAATTCAAAAGGCTTTGATGGGCAGAGGGTTTCTGAGAATTTGAAGACATTTCTTAGGTCTAGAAGCTATCATTGAGCACATGTGCTGTCCTAGAAAAATACCCTTTAACAGTCAAACTAACGCTTTGTATTCTTTTTTTTCTTGATAAACTAATTTGAGAAAGAAAATCTCAAAATAGGCCTATATGTAGTTCAAATATAGAGAGAAGCATTCAACAATCACTGATTGGCATGGAAAAAGACACCTCATTAAACACCACTTAAACATCAAACCGCCCTGCCTTTCATTGGCCTAAAGTTATGGCAGTGAGCATCACAAACTCTTTATTTTTTTTAACCCCATAGCCACTCTTTTGTTTCTCCTTTTTTACCCCCCCCCCCCCCCCAATCAAAGGCACGAGTTTTGTGTTGTCTTTAGCAGGCGGGGCGCACCGGCATTTGGAGCAGGATCACCTGCCTGTTCTCCGAGGGGTGGCACTTGTTTATGTGCCTGGTGAGCCCCGGCGAGCTGTACAGAGTGGCTGGGCAGTATTTGCACGGGTAAATCTGGGAGGAGTGCATGAGGCGCAGGTGTCGCTCCTGGCCGGCCCTGCTGGTGAAACTCTCCCCGCACACCGGGCACAGCAGGCAGTCCACTGGGCTCAGATTGAGAGGGCTTTGGTTTGAGGCTTCTTCTGAGGAGGAGGAGGAGGAGGAGGAGGAGGATGATGATGATGATGATGATGATGATGCAGTGGAGGAGGAGGATGACACCGGTGTCTGCTCTGCAGCGCGGTCGCTGGTTTGAAACCCTTGCTCCTCCAGCACTTTCTTTTGCAAGGCCTGGTGTCCCATGATGTGTTTTCTTAGGTATGCCTGTCGCTTAAACCTCTTCCCGCAGAACTGGCAGTCATATGAGCCATCTTCAGAGCCCGACTCGGACAGACCTGGACTCGGGGTGTCTCTGTCACTCATGTCTTTGGCTTCGTCGGAGACTGACTTGACACCTAGCGGTGGCATTTTGGCCATTTCAGGTTTGATGCCCTGTGCGGGTGGCATCGCCGGTGCGCCGGTGGTCCGGGGTTTGTGCCAGCGGCGGTGAGAGGCAAGGTTGGCCGGGCAGCTGAACATCTTATCGCACTCGGGACAACGGTACTCGACCCTGACAATGCGGGAGCACTTATGCTGAGCCAGAGAGAAGGGATCCGCGTACGCCTCCTTGCACAGCTGACACACAAACTCCCCCAAAGGCTTGTTTCCTCCGGAGGACTGCGCCCTTGGCTTCATCTCCACCGGCCCCTCTTTGATTTTGAGACCAAGCACGGGAGAAGTCGTCACCTCGTCTTCAAAGTTGAGTTTTCTAATGGCTTTGGGTTTTTTGGAGGCGGGTTTAGATTTGCGCTCTGTACCGTCAGCTGCGGGTCTTTTGGTGCCGACCCGGTTGCTTGGTGCCGGGAGGCTGCTGGTGGTGCCGCTGCGGCTGCTGTTGCTGGTACCGATTTTCAGGTCGACCGGGGCGTACAGGAGATGGTCCAGGCCGGAGAGGGAGGCAGGTGTCGGGAATGACTCGGCAGAAATAGGCGAGCCTAGATTGAAACTTCGCTCAAAATATCCCCTGTCGTGCTCCTTGCTGATGGGCCGGGTGGGGCTGTAGAGGGCTTGGCAAACCGCCTCTGGGTTCCCGAACTGTGCCGGCTTCTCCAGTCTTGGCACCGGCGCGTCAGCTGCTGTGAAATCCGGCGATGCTGCGGCGCGGTCCGGACTGGACGCCACGGACATCGGCGGGGAGGGGTCCGCCTGACTCGGCAAGGCAGCTGGGGTGGGTGGCTCCTGGAGGTCATCTTCGTCTGACCGAGTCCTGTAGGAAACATGTGCAGATTTCTTGTTTCGTTTTACCAGGAATCCTTTGGGCATCTTGGCGAGTGACAGCGGAAAGGCACTTCGGGGAGGTGGGTGAAGTCTTGAGTATCCAGGTTTGTTAAAAATATGGCAACACTAGAAGCTTATGGGACTTTATCTCCCTAGTATATTGATCCTTCTGTTGCTGAAATGTTTTCGTCTCCAAGGCATAGCTCCACTCTTTTTATGCCGGAATGATGCTATTGTTCTCGCCCCCCCTGTTGCAGCATCCCCGACCAATCGGATGAAACCAAGACCCCAGTGGATTTGATTGTGGGAGGGCTCAGAGCCTGGGTTTGGTGGATTTCGTTGGAGGATGTGTAGATAGCTTAGCAGATGTACTGGCGGTTTATTACATTAACGTGTGCGCTCAGCCCCTCCCCGACAGAGGCACACGCCGGGACCCTCCTCTTTTTACGGTCTGATGGGCCCCTATACAAATGCACACGTGCCACGGCTTTGTGGCTCTCCTCTGGGGGCCCCAGAGCTGCCAAAAGGAAATGTCCGTCACTGCCACAATCATCACAATTTAGAATTAAGACGGGGACGAGACAAGCTTGGTTAAATACAAACCAAAAGATCGGTTTGGTTCATTTTCTGCTGTGATGTTGTTCAAAGAGGCGCCTCACCTCATAGACGTGACTGTAAAACCATGCCTGATGTGCAGGTCCTCCCAAGATTGTGTTTGCCCCCACACGGCTCACAGCTGTTTATATTTCTATCCATGCTCCAGCCTCTTTTACGCACGGTTTTTACGCACATTACGCAGGCCTAACAGCAAACTATATAGCCCAGTTTTTATAGACCTTTGTTTTATTATGTCTTAAATAAACACCATAGAGGGAGTGTTTCTTTATTTTAGGGCACGTGTCTGTCTCGGTAGTTTAACTCGACATATAAATCAGACATCTCGCTGCATACATAAGTAATAAGAAGGCCCTGTGGTCTTTGTGCACAATAGCCACGTCTGCCCGTGCTTGGATATCCCTGTCTTTTTTTCTTTTTTTTCGTTTGAAAGGCAAATTGACCTCTTAACTGTGAAACGGGACTCACGGCCAATCTGGCCCACAGCTAGACGCGTGCTGGGCGGAATCAGTGCTCCAGACAAAGAAGGCCGCATCCGAAGGGCTGTGTTGCAAAATGCTGCACAGACATCCAAAGCTAAAATGTAGCTACTACTGCTGTTGTTGCTGACCACAGTCTGGAACTATTTGTACAAATATGTGCTATTTTAAGGATGTTAATTTAATTGCCGAATATGGGTCCATTCTAATGAAAATACTTCAATATTTAAATCTGCATTGTACTTATTCACATACTTAAACAAGTAAGGAAATTTGGTAACTCTCAATAATTTCTTGTAACAAAACTCTCAGTTTCAGTAAAACCCTGTAATCCTGCAGCCCCCCGTCTGCCTAACAAAGACAACTTTTCCTGACAGATTCTGTGGCCTATCTTCTGTACCAGCTCCCCTATGGTTTCTATGCATACTTCACACATTGTGTATTTGTCTGCTTTTTTTTCGTTATAAAGGCTAAATGTAGGCTGCAGTGCGCCACTTGGCAGAGAGCGCATTCTTTCCCCTTTCAGTCCGCAGACCAGGGAGGAATTAATCTCCATCGTCGTACATTGTTCCCCTCATTTGCATAAAGCTGCAGTATGACCAAGTCAAATAATTACACAATCGGAGCTGAGCCGCAGGCCTGCGCCATCCTTTCATTAGGCCTCTGTGTCCCGGTGCCTTCTCACCTGCCTGAAAGCACACCGTTATTTTGGATGGAGAGGGTTAAATGACGCATTTACTAAAACTTAAAACAAAAAAAAGTTTTACATTGTTGTAAAAAAAGTTCAAACCAAACAGAGCACTTAAAACGTTTTGAAATTCAGTCACTATAAGTTTGAACATTTCTTCCTTAAGTATTCGTCGAAAATCAAACTTTGAAGTTTTCGTCACTTAATTACCGTCAGGTGTGTTTTTTATTTTTTTGTTTTCCCGGACTTCGCCGTCTCGCCTATGTTAAAACTATTTTATATTTGCTGTAAAACATAACTGTTTTCATCCAATCTTAATGTTACGTCGTGTTTACCTCCTGCGCTCTGTTACTTGTTGTTCTTTCAGCCTCTATCTCGCATCTATTAGTCGTGGTTTGTTGGGAGTACAAGCTTTGATGGCATTTTAACGAGTTCCTCTTTCCCCCGTGATCATTTCACTGGGGCGCGTGGGCCGCTGTGCTGGCCTTGGCTACACCGACGCATGCGCGTGTTTGCTCAGTGGCGCGTGCTGGACGGGAAGCATAGGCGCCTAATTAGCATACAGCTGCAGCCACTTTAATGCAGGCTCAACTACATCCTCCAAAACCTTATCACATGCTATAGGATTTTAAATGTTCTCATTTATTTTCCTCTTTCCTCTTTCCCATAGTCTATGCTATCAATGTACTTACCCAGATTAAGGTTAAAAGTTTAAAAAGAATAAGTAATGTTATGAATACTCTCACTTGGTGTAAAATCATGTTTCTTTACAGTGGGTTTGTATTTGTTCACGTTGCTGTAAATAATCACTTTAAAATTATGCTTGTAGGCCTGATTTTCATTACTAAACTGTACAACCAGAAGTTTGAGTTGAAGAGTAAAACATTTCTGAGCTTCTGAGTCTGAGAGCCCAGTTGTTACTTCATTGCACCACCTACAGGATGAAGGATTAATACTGAGGACAGAGAAAGTTTACTTGCAGTAACTAAACAGTCGCACTCAGATCTCTTTGCAGGAATCTCACTGTGTTGCTTCTGTCAAACATTAACTTTGGTTACTGAGGGAGCAGTGGGTCAGTTTGCTTATTTCATTACACCTTATTCTCACCATGCTTGTATAGAAACCTCCTGTACTTCTCAGATGAATGATTAGCTCCATGTGCTGTACCAACCCTGAGCCAATTTGAAAGTGCAATAGGACATGACTGTAATTGGTGCTCACTACACGGCCACCTTCAATGCATTGTCAATCAGTTATAGTAATTGATTAGCTGAGGTCCTATTCTGGCTGGTTGTAATCTGATAGAAGGCTCTTTCAGCACCATGGAGAGAGCCAGCGAGGGACCCAGATTTAATCAGGCTGGCTGTGGACACAGCACAGCTTCAGCTTCAGCCTTTGTCCCTGAAACTGAAAGCAGGCAGCCACCAACAAGAGAACAATGACCCAGTAGAACAACAGTGCCAGAGTTTGATGAAGTGATTGATTTTTAAAAACAGTTCTGAATGGACTCCTATAAAACACATTTAAACTGTTTCTACAGAGGGAAACAGTTCTAATTATGACTCAATTCTCTTCTGTTCATTGTTTATTAATCTACCTTAGCATGTCTTGCGTCAAAAGTAATCAGTGTATTTTCTGGTCACATGTTTTTTGTGTTTTTCTCCAATGTGAGGTAAATACAATATATTTGTTTCTCTGTTTTTGTAGAATAACTCACTGGCCTGAGAGCAAGTGCCTTTTCTCTGTAATAGAACAAATTCCTGTTGCTCCTAGTTGACCTGCCTTTTCAGGACAAGGACTGTCCTTTAATTCAATTTCTTGTCATTTCCAAAAAGAAGAAAAGTTTCCTTGCAGATACCCGAAGTTAATGGAACTTGAATCAAAATACTAGAACCCAGAGGTTTTCTGCGGTGTCTTGTGGTTTTAGAGAAAAAACAGTATTATTAATTAAATCTACCATAGTGGGTAAGAGATTTATAAAAAAAAAATCAACTTGTGTTGTTTTTACGTCTTAATTTTCACATGAATTAATTCATTTAGAATTTGATGGACTTTTCTGTTGGTGTACAGATCACATATGTATTCAGTAATCCATGTGCTTGTCCTGAACCTGAACACTGAAGGTGAGCTGACGAATTAAAAAATCCAAATTATATCTTAGATGCAAGAAAAAGACCTTTTCAGTCTTTGTGGTGAAATCCTTGTGACACTTCACCAAAGTCAACTATGTGCCACCAGTTGGGTCAAACATTTGTGATTCCTACTGGCTGGTTTCTCACAGAAGACCAGGAAAACCATCTGTAGGCTATCTCAGGAAAGTCAACATGTGTGACCACGGAAGAGCAGCCAAACTACACCTGTAAAGAGCAACAATAGTAAAAGGGTTGTAGCAAGCTTCTGGAAAAGAAGTCAGACTGTAGTACCAGCAAGATCAATGGGGACATTGCCCGTTTGGCCATGAGAGCAACATAGAGGTCACTGTCTAGACTTTAAAGTGTACTTTAGAAGGATGCCCACGAGACCAGGTTACTGTGAAAAGCCCTGTAAAGTGGTATAGCTCTGAGCTTTAGACTAATGGACCTCAGTGTTGACTGGGAATGTCCCTGATGTTATCTGTACTTTTGACAGGGATGCTGATGACTCTATGACAACAAGGACAGATGTTTCAGGGCTTTAATGTTATTTCTGAAACGGTTCTGTAATACTAGCTATTGAAATGGTCTTTTGGCTAAATAGACTGCATGCTGCAGTGTACGGGTTTATGATCAAATCCAGTGGAAAATAAGTTTTTAAATGCAATTGCAACAATTGCATGGTTGCAATTGTTGAGGGAAAATTTTGAGGGAAAACATTTGAGGGAAAACAACAAGATGCTTTTCTTGGTTATATGTAATGTGTGTGTACAGACATATGAACAAAGGCTTCAAAGGGACAACACCAGATTTTCTTTTCTTGTAAAGAGCCTCTTATTAAAAGAGGCCTTCCTACATATCAGGCATATCAGTTGCTGGAGTCCCAGGGGCATGTTTAGCTCTAATTTACTCATCAAAAGCATCAGAGTGTCTCTCAATAATCTTTGCAGTCCATTGGTTGTTTGGGGTGGAGTCCCCTGTCAGAAAGCATGCCCTGGAATGTTAAACACTAATTCACCTCTGAGCTGCAGAGGTGAATAAAGTGATTGTTCTATCTGGGAGCTGATTAAAACGGGCTCTGGCCTGTTTTTCCCCTCTGCGTTCACCTCTGACGTCCATCACATTCATTTCTGTATTCATGAGTGGATGAGAAAGCGCAGGCAGAGCGGCTGCCGTATTACAGATAATAAGGCCAGC